CACACACACACATACACATACAACCATACGCATACATGGACACGTAATATATACGTACACACAAACACACAAATATACACATACTCACATACAAACAGTCACACACAACAATTACGCAAGTAGACGAGATGAGAAGAACCTGTAACCCATATTAAACAACTATTGTCTTTACCTTGGCTGGCAGAATGCCCATGATTCTGCTGCCCTTGCTGTCTCTGCCTGAGAACTCCAAGCCCAAAATACAGTCCTGCGACGCTATGTGCCCAGGGATTGCATCCGGTGGCAGTTTGCCAGTGGCCAGCATCACATCTCGGAAGTTCAGAGATGTGTAGTACACACTGCATAGTTCTGTATCACTGCCATCAGGTTGAAAGTACTTCAGAGGCGACTCAATCCACCTGAAACTGGACAAGTCACCCCGTGTCTGGATGTCAACGTAAGCGAACTCACATTGTTTCTCACTGGCAGCCCCACCTGTGAAACAGCAGGAAAAAGGCAAGATAATCTTACTGATAAAGTTCAACCCCCACCCCCGCCCAATACCTTCCCAAATCCCCGCTCCCAAAACAACAACAACAACAACACAACAACAATCAACAAAAAACCATACATATCAATCAAATTATTATGCAAAGAGACAACAATACAGCTAACCCCAACGTCATCACACAAACAATCGGAAAAAAACATTCTGATTTTTGAATTGAGAAAAGCTTTGGAGGAAACAGATATTTTCAGACTTATCGTCGTGCACCCCCCTCCCCCCGCCCCAAAATTCCCTTTATCTCCCTTCTCCAATCTAAAGAGTAAAAATAGGCTAGATGCAAGGAGACCAATTCCAGCCTGTACTCGTAACCCCTCAGCATCAACTCTCAGTAGATTTCCTCGGGAGTCAGATCATGGCAAACTATGAACATACTCTAATAATATGTCGACAGTTCTTCCTGAAAACCCCTGAAATGTAGTGAACAGCCATGTATTTATAAATAAACAGATACGTACTACTGGGTTTGATGCCGCAGTCAGCTTCTTAAATAAAATTCCCAGTACAAGGTTACGTTGAAATTCTTCAGAAGACACTTGTACGTAAATGAAAAGTAAATTGCAGCATTCATCATCTTTCTCTCTCTACGGAATGCCACTCACCTTCTGTCAGAGGAAGATTTCTGAAGCTTCCCCAATGGCCGTCCCTGTACACATTGATCACCAAATCTTTTTCTATTAAGTTCTGAAATCCAACGCTTTCAACAGTCAGGATAGGGCGTGGAGAGGACTGCTTTGTGTTACTGATCAGTGCACATCTGACTTTCCCCCCACTGGGCTCTTTACGGAGAGATTTGATAAGACCCGTGATGCCGCTAATATCTTCAACTGCCGCAATGATCCACAACCTTGAATTTGCTTGAGACGTGTCTAAAGTTTTCATTTTGGACTTCAGACTGTCGACCCACGAGAAATCGGTTATTTCGTTGATAAAAATCAAAGTTGGAGACAAAGGGATCACAGCCTTCTTTCGGAGCAGGAACAGCGTGGAGAGGAGATTGTCAGATTTCCTACAGATGACATCGTAATTGTGTTTTGTGAACACTTCCACCCAGGAACTTTCAGTCAAGAAACTATCACACGCCCGGCAGACATCTTGAACGTTGTTGTTGGACAGTTTGTCAGAAATGGTTTCCAATGCGACATAAAGCGGGACGTTCTTGGTGACCTCCTCGACAAGGATAAAGCCCTCGGGGACGACCATGGTGGAGACTGTCTCCAGCATACTGTCGATGTCTGGCTGTTTGTGCAACACATTCTTCAGAACCAGCAGTTGGACTTGGCCAGGTGGGACAGACTTGGATGTGGATGGGTCCCACTGGGAGAACTTCACATCGAAAGTTTTAGCGTCAGCAGGAAGAGGATTTTTGTCTGCTCCAGTGTAGTTCACACTAAAAGTTGGACAATTTGTAATTGAAGGCACGATTTTGCGGTACAAAGTACTTTTCGCTGCCCCAACTTCCAAAACACTCACAGGAGAGGACGACGAGACATTTTCCAACACGATGTCTATACATGGTTTTAAATTCTCAACGCTTTCCATGCCCGTGCGTAGTTCTTCCAACACGTGTTCTGTGTGAAAGTGCTGTAAAATGTTTTCATCACTATTCATATCCATGAGAAGAGTCAGAAGTTCCGTAAATGCACTGCTAGGCAGAGAATCACTCTGCGTGTTTGAGTTCTGTTGTGTCGTTGAATCCTCAGTTATACAGTCCATCGGCTCTTTGTTGAGTGAAGATTTCCTGCACCCTGATCGGGTAGCACACTCACAATTAGACAACTTGAGATTGTCAAGCGCGGGTTTGACATAACGCTCGACATATGCTGTCAGCTCTGTGCAGGCGACGACATCGTCTTGAAGATAGGGATGAAAGAGACACTTCTCGAGGACAGGGGCAGCTTGGGAGCCCCTGAATGGTGCAGCAGTCACATGAAGACCATGGAGTTCAACACCCCCACTGAATGTTAAGTCCAGCACCTGATCTGTGCATACTGGAATATCTGGAAGAAAGTAAGGTGGTTATAAGTATTCTCAAATGTTGAAAGAAAATGGATTATTTTTCTTGTTGTTGTTGTTGTTGTTGTTGTTGTTGTTGTTGTTGTTGTTGTTGTTGTGTGCGTGTGTTTGTGTGTATAACGGGGAAAAAAGGGGAGGGGTGGGGGTTCAAGATTATAATGCAACGAGTGTCATAAGCTTTAGCTTCAAACATGAAATAAAAGCTGCTTAGAAACTAAACTATACCTAAACGATGTATCCGTTTCCTTTCTATTCTGTTCTTTGGAGAAAAGGTTTTCGGTCCTTTACTCCCTAAAGGGTGGGCATAGTATCTGAAAGACGATGTTGCATTATTCTATGGGAGTGCATGAGCTCATATTATGGGAATGAGCACAGACGTACGTGTTTACGTAAGCATTTCCTGGGCCACAGACGAATGTTTAAAGACCATGTGTCCATGATAGCCATGTGGCAATAGTGTTACATGTGAAATATGTAGGGGACACGGAATCACAAATATTCACTGTCAAAACATTCGTTCGTTGTTAATTCAAGACAACATATCCCCCCCCCCCCCCGCCCAACGTCAAATTGCCATTGTTCAGTTTAAGATAGTACACAAAAAGTAGGCTTTAGAATACATGTATTGTTCTTTTCTAAACTACTTAAAAGAAGCCAAGGAAAAACCAGGAACAGCTCTCAAAATTTCTCCATATTCACCAACAAAGGTGTCATGAAAAGACGTAACAGCAAAACGATATTTGTCACCCAAGAACGGCATACTCACCAATGTGTTTTCCTTCTCCAGGCGCCCCTGGTTGGGATCTTGGGTCTATCTTCAGGCTTTGGATCCTGGTAGGGAGGAACAGACCGGTGCCTGTTCGGGACAGGATCTGTGTCTGGAGCATGGCGTCAGTGAAAGTGATCCAGCGACCATCCCATTTCAGCTCTCCAGTCAGACCTAGTCGATAAGACAATGCGCTTTTGAGGAACAGGCTGGGTTTAGTTATAAACAAGTAGTTTACGCTTTGAATCGTAGTTTATTCACGAATTTTGGCATTAGACTCAAAGGAAGATGCGTTCTATTGAGAAAGTTAGATTTGATAAATTTAATCTGATTCTATGCTGAGGACAGTGAAACGATGAACAAAGTACTTGAATTTTATACCTTTTAGTGTCTGTCTTTTATTCTAAGAGATGGGTAATTGCATTTGAAAGGGGTAGAAGAATACGTATGCTGTTGGAGATGGCTTGGAGTTTCTACATTATACCCAAAGTAGACACACTTTTAAAATCTACCCTCACCCCCATTCCCCACCTCGGAGAGGACGCTCTTTAGTTTGATGCTACGGTAATAAGACTTCTTTGTGGGTTCATTGGCCGACCAGTAAGATTTCTTTGTTATCAAAGCCTTCTTCATAATATCATCTAGATATCTAGTACGTAGTACAGCAGTGAAAATATACGATGGGTCATATTCTTTGTTTAAGGTTGTTTGTAGTATACCTACAAAATCCCCTAGTCATAGTTCACAACGCATCTTGTTCACAGAAGACAGATGCATGTTTTTATTCATTTGAAAACGAATATAGAGTGGTTGATTGTTTTACGTCTTCATCCAGATAATTAAGAACTTGTTCGTGGAAGGCTAACCCTGTAGAAAGATGGAGGTGCTTTGTAACATATCTTCTCCACATGAGAATTAAACTCCCTCCCATTGTATACAAGGTGAAGAATCTTATCATACTTGTACGTCTACAGACGGTGGTAAATAATGGTTAAACAGTGTATTGTTGTTCAAAGTACAAACACTTGATGGCTGAGGGGCTTGTACTTGAGTGGTCTACTACACTGACATGCTTAGAAGGGTACTAGCTGATGAGAGACAGAAAGTTATATTGGTGGCTGGTCCTGTTAGTGGTTTCAGATGCGATATACACATAAAAATATACTTAATATAAAAACAAACTTCTGAAATCTTCTGAAAAAGCTCACCTGTCTCACTACAGCTTGAGATGCCTTCAAATGCCGGCCCGTACTCGTAGCCCCTCAGCCTCAGCTCTCGGTAGATTTCCTCGCGAGTCAGTTGGAAGTCCGTGGTCTCTTCGTGACTCGAATACTCTCGGACATTCTTGTATAGGTCTCTGTCCAGAAACTGACCTTCAGGGCAGTAGATATTGCCGTCCACTACTAGAGTGTCATTCTCACAAATGTTGAACTGGTCAGTGCCTTGAATAAGGTCAACTGTGAGTGTTACTGGTCCTGTTGACAGACATGTTATCTGGTTGATATTCCCAGCTTGTCAAGAGGATATCTCGGTTTTAAACAAGCCATCCGACAAGGAATAATGTTGTTGTTTGCACAGGATCCGTTTGAATATTTTACCCAACTCATCTCCCTCCACCTCTCTATTTTTTCTATCTCTCTCTCTTTCCTCTGTCCCTTTATCCTTTACCGTATC